AATGAACATCATTAGTTGATAAAATATCAAGTTCATCACCAAAAAATCCATTATATGAAATAATTGCGCAAGGACCACAAATTAAGATAATTATGAAATATTTAATAGAAACTAAAGGCATCCCAGAAAGATATATCGAAACAAAAGGATATAAAAGTAAAGAAGATAAGAAAAAACAATAACAAACTTTGGATTTAATTGTAAAAATTTTGTTTAAATAATTTTTAAAATCTATCTATTTGCAAAATTAAATAGATTATATTCTAATTTTTTTAAATTACAATAAATTATTAATTATTTATATAGTAAGATATTCATTAAAAATATACCACTCAAAAAGTTGTCGTAATACTCCCAACTAAGAATTCGGTAGAATTTCAGTTTCCCATTTGTTATGTCAATAATATGCAAATGCACCTGAAAAGAATCCATAAGGCCTTCTTAGCTTGGTAGCCAATTCTTGGTAATTTAGATTATAATCTAAATTATAGTTATTGCTATTTCATCGTTTTCATCATCTAAATTATTGGCAACATTATCATTTCTATTATAAATATCATTATTAATGTCATCTCCATCTTTAATATTAGTTTCTAGTTTGTGAATATTATTATCGACATCGTTATTATTATCAATATTGTTATTATTATTGTCATCATCAACTATATCGGTAATTATGAGTTCGGCTTCAAATACATCTGAAATTTGTTTTAAATTAATTTGGCTTATTATCTCTTTTAACCATATTGGATCAAATAATGGCACTGGTAACATGTGAAGACTCTTGTTTAATCCAGATATTATGTTAATATTTTTTTCACCTTCAGAAGATGATAATGAAGTAATTTTTGACGGCAAATTGATGGAAGTTCGTTTGATTCTTCATTGCTCCCTCTATACAGTACACTCTCTCTATAACGACTTTTGGCTGGGTCGTTATAGTAAATTTTTGTAGATAATCACGTGGATAAACCTTATTTAAATAAATAAATTAGTTACTAATGTTTGATTGTTGATTTGAATTAAATTCTATTTTTTTAATTTTTCTCTTGAAACTATTTAATGGTTTAATTTCATTGTTGCCTAGTTCAACTTTTCAGATTGTTGGTCAATGTATGTGTTTAATTTTTCTATTGCTAATAAAGCTTCTTTATTTGAAACAGGCGGAAATTCTTCTTGATTTTGCTCATTTGGAGTCCTGATGGTTACTATGACATAGTTTTATTTGTAAAAAAGATTATGACAATGACACTCTCTCATGCTGTGAAAGATGTGGTGGGTTAAAGAGGAATAGAAATAGGTGCTTTTGTAGTCATTTGAAAGCCAAATCAGCTAAACCACTTTCTGATAAAGAACTACTTTCACAGGCTTTTAGTTCTCATCTAGAAAATAAAAATAGAGAACTAGAAAGAGAGTTATCAACTGCCAAAGAAGAATTAAATATCAAAAGGGAAGAAGTAACTAAGTTTCAGGAAAAGTCTCAGGAACAAAGTTAAAAAGCAAAAACAAGAATTATTGGATAAGATGAAGGGTTTAGAAGAAAAAATTAAGCAACTAGAAGAGGAAAACAAGAAGTTAAAAGAGGAAAAGAATGGTCAAATTGCTCAAATTGAAGTTAAAGAAACTAAGGAATGACCTTGATCGAGTAATTTTTGGTTATTTTCCTCTGTATAAATTGAAATTCATTCCAACTATCAAAGAAAATGATAGTTATTTTCTTTTAGATGTAAGTTAGAGAAAATGTTCTGGCTTTTGATATCTTATTGATGATTATAAAAAGCAGCTACAGTATTACTGATAAAAATAAGATTACATTCTTCCTGATTGTAAATGTAATGAAGATTTTAAGGATAAACCTATTTATAAATAGTATATATAACTTTTTAGGTTTTAAAACTGCTGTGATTTATGTCATTAGAAGAATTAAAAGGAAAAATAAATCAATTATTGTAACAACAAGATTATTTTTCTTCTAAGGATTTCTTTTTTTTTGTTGGATAATAGCACATCTTCATTCTGCTTTCTTTTTCCAACATTTATTATTTTTCTTTCTTGGTAAATTTCATAAGCAACCTTTTCTTTTCTTAGATAAAATTCAATTGTCTGAGTATCATTTATTTTGAAAATGTAAGGAGCAATTTTTTCACCTTGTTCTTTCTTCAAAATAATTCTGATAGTACTATAATTCTTGGGTTCCATGGTAGACCTAATGTAAATTGGCTTCATATTAACTATTTTTATATAGGGGCAATTCTATATCACTTAAGATAACACAAATGGGATATTATAAAACTGTTAATTATATAATCACATTATAAATAACTAAATTTTGATCCCTGAAATCCTTGGTAATACTAATGTTCACTTGTCTGGTTTTGTTGCAGCATGCCCCATATATTAGTAAAAATTTTAAAATTTAATGCATAAAGTTAATATAATAAAAACTATCAAATAAAAAGCCTATATCTGGATCATTTTAACTTACCTGTTGAACCAATTCTCTTGGTGAAATGATTAAAGCTCTGTATCAAATCATATAACATTGGCAATACATATGTCAGTATTTTTCCTATATACATGATTACTAACAAAACTTTAACCTCTATTGCAGTTAACTTCCAGAAGAGGTTCCCTCATCAGGAAATTTTTTCTGATGTGGATTTACATAATTATTACACTATTTACATAAGTTATGGCAGGCCCCATAATATTATGCAAAAATCATACAAAAATTATGCAGTTATTACATTGAGTGTAAATATTACATAATTTTTTATGCAAATATTACAACTTTACATATGGATGTAATATTACGATGGGGAAAATTTCCTGATGATAGTAGACTGATTACAGGTTTTGTTGAATCAAACAATGTCAAATTCCTGATCTTAATTGGAAACCCTGATCTGGGATGATGGCCAAAGACAAATGAACCTACTTGATGAAATGGTAACACCATGCCAAGCAACCACTCATTGCATATCTACCTACACTACTGAAATATGCTGGAACAAATTGTGGAAGGACCCTGGGATGGTGAATTAGGGTAAGTGGGAGCATTTATTCAAATGTGACAAACTTCAAAACTGTGGAATGATCCACATGCATGGCTTTACCTACACAATCCATGCAGATGTTCCTGAGCCTGTCATGGAAAAAACATTGTACAGTTTGGTCATGAAGCATCAGATTACATTATTATAGCCATCAAATGGAGAACCATGTTTTAAAGGGTTTCCCCAGCCACTATCCCAGGTCTGAAATCGAAATTATTCAACACCAAAGATAAGAAAGATAGGATGATTGTCCAGTGAATGTCACCCATTCTCTTACATTTTATTAGATACACAGTGAGCCCTTTTCTTTCAACAACTTGTGATGAAAGTTGCAGCAAGATCAGAACAAGTCTTGCTAGGATGTTTACCACATACTGAGAAAGTTTCCCCTAAGATACAGCAAAGCAATAAATTCACTTAAAAATAGCTATCTAAAAAAAAGAACACTATTTCAGAGGCATATGTGACAATCTTAAGATCACTCTTACCTGAGCTTGAGAATCAAGATCTATCTGATATCATGTTCATCAGCTGGCATCACATCACCCTCCACTTGGTACAGTATATAGGTACTGCTCAAATTAAAAATCAAGAATCCCAAATTTTAAATTATTTTGTACATCCCAAATGTAGATCAATATTTCTGTCCTGCTTTCCTAACCAAAAAGAATTTAGTGTGACAAACAAGTTGCTGATCACTTTCACAAATCCTAGCACTTATTATTTGGAAGACAGAATGCTATGGATGTACAAAGTAGTTTGGGATTTGGCAGCATGTATATTACAGTCACTCCAGAATGAATCATATAGTATTTACAGCACCTGTGCAACACTTGGAAAATCATCAGATAAAGAAAGATATCCCTGCTTCTTTTTATGGGTTTGGAAAGTCTCTCATGATAAGACAAATCATTAGTCTAAAAGAAAAGAACACTTATTGATAGCCCCTATCTGTGTTGCTGTCCGGAAAGGCCATACACTCATCTTTGAAAGATAGAAGATTGAGCTACAAAAAATCAACGCCATTATAATAAATGAAATATCTATGGTAAGCAATGAACTGTTCATCCTCATTAGCAATACCTACACTTTTGGAAGTGTACCAATGTTACTCATGGGGATTTGGCTCAACTGCCTCTAGTTCACCCTTCCTATGCCTTCAACCTGCCAACCTGGGAAAATTTCTACCCTTTATTTTAGAGGCAAATCAACAACATCAAATTTTATCAGATTCTTACATAGTAATAGATAGGTTACATTTTTTTTGGTTGGGGAAAATTTGGTAGGGTTGGATGATCCTACTATTAAGAGTAAAACCACCGTTGATCTTGGATGTCGATGAATTGGTCCATTTTCGTTAAGGATCCTCGAAATTAGCCAATAAGATTTTGGGTAAATTCAAAAATTTACCAGAGTAAGGTTTCTGGTCCAAACTGTTTTCTCAAAGCCCAAACTAGTTTGGGCAATTTGGGCTTCTCGGCATTTTTTATAACATGAATATTAAAAAACCATACCAATCAACTTATTTTAACTTAAACAACTTTAAAGTAAGTTCGCCTAATTTTGGCTAATAACAAAGTAAATTTTGCCCGAAGTGTTTGGCAATTTCGGCCACTAATAAAGAGAGTTTCGGCAGAAACCTTATCCGAAGGTCTTTTCAAGGCTCAAATATTTAAGACTATAGTTATCCTCATAGCTAAAGGAAAATCAGGTTCATTTCAACTTTAATTACAATTTTATACAGAGATAATCCTATGTATTATTTAAAGCATAAGTACAAAGCACTCATTATAAAACCTTTAATATCATGTTCACATTACGTTTGTGATGTTAACTAATTAAATTTTGATCCTTGAAATTAAATTATTTTGTTAACATTATATTACTATTATTATTTATTATTGAAAAACAAAAAAAAAAAATTTAATAAATAAATCTATTAATTTAGGCTTTTTTTTATTTCGACCCCCCATCACTTTTTATTAATGATTATATTTACTATTAATAAAAATTATTTCTATTTATCCCACCACCTTGTTGTTGATAATTATTATATTTTGGTGTCCTATTGTTATCATATTGATACCTGGCTGGAACAATTGAACCCGTGTTGCCATATGATCTCCCAGGATTTGATCCTTGTGATGATATTGAAGGTGATGGCGAGATAGACCGTGGAGGAAGAGGAGCTTTGTAATCAAATAATTCGTTAGAATTTATTATATGTTGGGGTGGACGCTGACCAGCAGCGGAAGTTTGTGGATAAGGAGGTTGATGGTAGCCAGGTGTATTAGGCCTCGAAATATACGGGGGAGGATTCATTGGTTCAGGTGATTTATTCGACATTCTATCATCAAACATTGGCGGAGGAGAATTTAAATAATTTGAATATGGCATTGGTGGCGGTGGTGCGCCGTATGGAGGCACATCTTCTATTGTTGGTAAGGTAGGTTCACGTAATGGTCTTGGATCCGTTTGCATTGTCTTTTTCTTTTCTGAAGCCTCTAGTTGTTTTTGTTGATAGCGTTTTTTGGATTTCTTTTTAAGTATTTCAGTTATTCTACCAATATATATTTTATTATGTGAATTTTATTAAAAAAACTTTGAAGATTAAAACTAAACCGATAATAATAATGATAATAATATAAATTACGTACCTTTTGTCAATTTTGTGACAACAAAATTCTTTTAAATTTCCTCTGATATGACATAATAATGGAATATATAACAGAAAAGCAAAAATAAGCATAGTGGCTGATATAATAAGTGCACAAACTGTGAACATCATCACAAACACAGCAAAAGTTTGAACGTTAGATATTGATTCATAGGCATCCAAATCAAAATATTTTCTTGATTTGTTTGATTTAAAAATTGTAAATAGTGTAAATCCATTAATTACTTGACGTGGTGCTTCAGCAAATAAAAGGCGTTTCCACCCTGTTTATAAATAAATAAATAAATTAACTGATTAAACCTTTGCTTTTTCTAAAATATCAAAATACAACGTTTAGTTAATTAGTTACCCTTAAATGTGAAAAATACAAAAAATGCTATTCTATCAGTTATTTTCTGAGAGTTATTAATTTGAGAAAAGAAACAATAATATGAATAACTTTTTACAGTATAATATCTATATGCTACAGTGTTTGTAAAAGTATATGAAATGTCTTTTGAAATCAAGATTGATTTTGCTTTTACTCCATCCAAAATCAATAACAGAAATGAAGCTAAGATGCTACCAAGAAATATCCATTTTGAAACTGCTATAGGAATGACTGGCTGTATTGATGTCCCCCAATGACCAAGAAATAATAAAATGCCAGCAGTCCATAAATCACCCACGTATACAAGTACTGATTTTATTACTACCAGAAATACAAACGAATACCTTATTTTACGTAACCAACTTTCTTCCTTAAATTCTTTTATATTAACAAAATCAAACTTATGATCTTGAACTTGTTCTCTCTTCCACTTTGCTGCCGAAAAACACATTTTATTTATAATTTTTAAATAAAAATAATTAATGGTATAAATGTAAATTATAAAATTTAATTTAATAAAAGAACGGAATAGATGGTGGGAAAGGAATGGAAGGAAATTATGGTATAAATTTTTGTTTTTTTAAAAAAAAAAAAATATATATATTTGAAGGAAAAAAAAAAAAGAAAATAATTAATGTTTTACAGAAACAATATTGTTCATACATTTTCATACTACACAAATCATAAATTGGTGTTACATTGTATCAGAAAGCCACAATTTATTTGGTTTCTTTCTATATTTGTAACATAAGTAACTAGAGCAAGAGTGGCTGAAACCCCTGGTCACTCTAATAAGTTTAATACATCCGAACGCCTCTTTAAAAGAATTAGAAACGAATTACTGAATGATTGAATGGCCATTTATTTTGGATAATATAATTTTAAATTAATAAAAAATCAATTATCAATTCTTTCTATATATTGTAGTCATGGGGTTTGGACATTTTTTTTTATGTTGGGTGTTTATAACATTAAAGTGTTAACGTTAACTAATACCTTTGAAACTGTTATATACAGAGAGAGATAAGGAAATTCAAATTAAAGCGCAGTTTCAAGTTGATACAAGAATTTATGCTTATGTAGTGGAACCATAGCAATAGAAATAAAATCATATTGTATAATTTATACTAGAATAAATAAAATATCCTCTAATATAAAAATTTAGTATGGTATCATACCATAAAACTTGATCACAATGTATGGGTTGCCCATATCTATCGACTAATTAGTCGATTATTAATGATACTAATACTATTACTATGCTAATATTATTATTGTATTTACCAATTACGATTTTTGTGTTTTATCATTCAAAATGGAAAATTTTTATGCGGAAGAGTATCAATATGATGATGACGACAATAGTAGTGTGTTGTTGATGATAATTTTACATGTGAATGAATAAACACTTCCAATATAAGGTCCAATAGTTCATTGACTTCAAGTTCCAATGATTTAAGCGGTGGTTCCAGAAGACCTTTAAAAAAACGAATCGTAACACATGGTTTTGTGTGGAAGTGTTTTGAAAAAGTAAGATTCAAATGGAAATGAATTCGTAATTTTCAAATTAAAAAAAAAAACGAAATATTATTATTGTTATTATTGTTATATAAAAAAAATTTAGTCGACTAATGACTGAAATAATCGACTAAAGAAATTTTTGACCAACTAGTAGTCGACTAAGGATTTTTTGGACGATTCCATAACAAGATTTTGGAATAAATAATTGTAAAATCGAGCAGAATTACAGGCAAATTTTGAGCGGAAATAATTATTTTTAACATAGTAATAGTAGGAATATAACCATCCGGAAGACTTTGGTTTATTTTGTCACAGAAAATCATTAAAACAATAAAGAAACCAAGAGTATCTTTCTAAGAGTTCAACATAGCTGAAATTTCCCAAAAAGTAAATTCTTTGGTTTTACAAGGAATGACTCATAGTATGTAATAGTGTAATAATAGCATGATATTAGGATTCATTATATCGGCACTGTCGAAAAAGTATTCAATTTATTTTATTCATAGTTTCAATAATATTCATTAAATTGTTGAAACAAATTACAAATTAAAACCATTAAAACCATTAAAATCATAACAAATATTGCTAATATTTCTTTTCTTACTAATACTTATTACAAAAAACTACATTCCATAAAACAAAAAAATCAAAACGCGCTCGAATTACCTTTAGTTCCCAAGTTCGAAACATTCGGAAAGTTCAATATTGATGTGTAGAACAAACTTTTACATAGCATATGAGTTGTGTTGGCTTGATTTTTTGGCTTTGAAGTTAACTACGCATAAAAAAAATGCATATCAAAACTTATATCTGTCAGAGTCTACAAATCAATCCGTCTGACACATTGGAAATCAAGATGTGAATTTTTGTCTGTAATATTAGGAGCATTTCTTTACACGGGAACACTTATAATGGATAGAGACTAAATCCGTTTATAAGGGAACGAACTTACCTGTATTAGGATGGTAGGATATGTTTAGCTGGTGGCAGCAGCGATTAGGACTTCAATGAAATCATAGTTAGCCATACTGATATCGGATCTTTTCCCGGTCTAGTGTAACAAGTGAATGGGAACACATTTTTGCTGATCAAAAGCGTTATTTTTAAAATAATCTATTCAATGATTAAAATAGGAAAACAAACGAAAATGAAAAATTGAGACTTTTCCTCGTCATTTACTCGTTCTTCTCTCCCAAGAACAACTGACAATGATAATTAACAATCAATGATCCTGAGCCCACAACATCAACACCTCATACAATTATGTGTGCAGCTCGATAAATGAGTAAAATCAATTGTGAATGTAAAAAATTTATTAGCAAAATAAATTATCAATTCTTCTAAATTTATATCAAAAAATTAAAAATCACATATCATCTATTCTACCCTATCCTAAGTAAGGGATTTAAATTTGTAAAATTGATTATTAGAGTATTTATTACATTTTTTGAGAAATATAAGTACACAGAGTGATTAAAATGTGGTGGTGATAAATTAAAATGGTAATTCAATCTTATAATCTTTAATTGTTTCAAGTTTTTCAAGTTTTTGCAATCCATTCATAACAGGTATGGCAGGACAACCCTCTTCAGGTGCATAATGTAAAATATAATCGCCTGGTAAATAACGATCAGGAAAAGTGTTTATAACATGATCTTCTTCATTAATATAGTAAATCTGAAATAATAATAATATTCATTGATTAAATTTTTTTATTTAAAAAATTTATTAATTACTACCAACAAATTAAAAATTATAGTTTATTACCTGGTTTACCCATTCAGGTTTTGCTATTGCATCCCTTAAGGCTTGTTGTTCTTTCATTCCTCTGTAGGCTCTATCAATTCTGCCTTGAACTGCTCTTAAAAATCTAAAGCCCCAATTTGTATTTCTAATAAAAAACACTCCGGCATTTATCATGTCATCACCAGATGGTCTAGCCACAATGAAATTTATATTATTAAAATCACGTGTATCATTTGATTTAATCATTCTTTCTTTAATACTTTCAAAGAATTGTTCAACAGAAAATGTACGATTAACAATAATCGCATCCATATCCAACCAAACCAACCATTCATAATATGGTAATATAGTTTCTACGAAATCAAGTTTTCCCCATACTTTATGACGTCTACGGAATGTTTGTTGCCAGTATTCTGTAGATCTAGCCACAAATGCATAACCATGTTTGTTAGCATAAACACGTTTATTATCAGCAGATAAAGCAGCTGCAATATTCATACAATTGTCTGCATATAAGTAGCTGCTTGTTATTATAGCTACTGAATGTCTAGAACTTTTGTTTAAATCATCATTCTTGTAATAATTTAAAATTGTACTGCTTTTTTTTAAATTCATTCTGGATTTGCATGGTATTATCGGTTCTATCGATAAACCTGATGATAAATCTGTCATAATCCAATCTTGATAAATATTACCTATTGCAATCACATCATCTATATTAGATGATATACTGTTGATTGAATTTGGCCATTCTATAATAGTTGAATTGTCATTAACTATTATAATATCATTATTATTAATATTTATAAAGTTACTATTATTATTATTTTCTATTTTGTTCCTAACAAATCTTGAAACAATATTTGTGTAATTAGTTGTGGATTCTTTGATTAAAGGATCTTTCAAAATCTTTGGAATAACATTTGAACCTAAAACAGTGAACATATTGTCAGTTAAATTTGTTCTAAACGATCCCCAAATTAAATTCTGTTTATTATTTATTTTGTTGTTTCCTATCAAATGCGTTTTTGAATATAGGATCTTTTGAAGTTTGACTAAATTTGGTAAAGTTAAGGAATCTTGAATCGCTAGAAAGTCATACGATATACATAATTCATCATTTAAATTTTGAGACTATAAAATAAATAAAAAGTTATTTTATTGGTGGGTTGCATATTTAGAAATTAAATTGGAGATCGCGGGTAATGCGAAGCAGTGAAATAATAACTTACCCATTTTAACATTGAAGTTTGCCAATCATCACCATCATCACTAGTAATGTCTGTCAAATCATTAAATTCCATTTTTTCTGCTATAAAATTTCTTCTTACCTCCCCATCATAATCTTTAGTTTTTTTACCTTTTATATTTTTTACTAGGAATTGATAATAGATATTATGAAAGGGTTGTTCATTATTGTCTTGATGCATACAAGGTATTAAATTATCATTTATGTTGAATAACAATTTCCTCAATAATTTTCTCTGATTAAAGTCTTCAATCCTTGAAGAAATTATTAATAACAAATTATAATGATTTGGGAAAATATTTGAATTTCTAGATAAATCTTTTGTACAATTATTTGGAAAAGTGACGGTACTTTCTTCTACTGATGGTGATGGTGGTGGCATCAGTTCTGTGGTAGTAGCTGTATCTGCTGCAGAAACAGTGATCGTTGGATAATCATTTTCTTCGTCTTGTTGAGTCTTTTCAATAACAAATTCAGTTGTTCTGGTGATGACAGAATAATGTTGTTTACTGGCAGTTTCTTGAGCAAAAGGTGTTGATGGTGTAAAATAAGATAAAGTCAATAGAAAAAAAACAATAGTTACTAAGATTAAGGTCAAAAATTTTCTTTTTCTAAATTGATAAGCGGATGTAGTTAATTGATTATTTTGTTGCTTCATAATGTCAAAATTCAAAAAATTTTTAATTAAATGATCATAAAAAACTTTTTCGTTGTACGTATTTTCTTTCTAGAATAGATAGCTATTTATACTAAAGGTTTTATTTATTTTATATTTTTAGAATTCATTTTCCTTAAAAAGAAGCTTAAAACTAAAAAACATTGTTACACTATGTTGTGTGTGGGTCGCGATACGCTATACTGAATTATTGAATTATCCATTTTTAGAAACATAAAAAGACTACTTAATACTAATGTAAACAGAGTTGCCAATTCGGCTAAATTCTAATCTAGATAAAAGTATATATCATTTCTTGCTAGTTTTTACCTTGTTGTAAATAAAACCATTTTCCTATTATTATTATTCGATGTAATATAGTGTGAGAAGATTACTTGTGTATTTTATATAAAAAAAAATATGATAAATTAAATATTATTATGTACAAAACATGTTCATTTTAAACTTTTTTATCTGTTAATATGCAACTAATTAGTACAATATAACATATTAGATAACCAAAATAATAAAAAATTAATCTCGCTATGATTGATGTTACATATTCCATACAATCTTGACTCCTAATCTACGTCCAATAAATCAAACTTCCGGAATTACGGGATATTCACGCGATCGACATGTCTACTGTAATAATGCAAATATGTATTAAAATCGAAGAAACTTTTTCATTTGTCACCTAGCACACCCACATGAAGTTTTAACCAGAAACGTGATATTTTGTCACGCATTCTTTGAGATTTATTTTATTTGCAAAATTTTAGCTATGGTTTACTAAAAAAAAACGGAAAAGAATTACTTGTTGAAAGTTATGCCTTCAATTATTAATCATGCTACAACAAATTATTTGAACTTGTAATTTCAAATAAAACATAAACAAGAAACCACCATTTGGTTTTTAGAAATAATATTACATCATTGCATGGACAATGGAAACAAGGTCAACTTCTACGATCCACATCTCAAATGTATAATTCCTTAGTAAATAATATAATTCTTTACTAATAAGCTTTGTTTCTAAGGTTGGAATAGCTGATGGTAAATTATTGGAGAGTTCTTTATCAATAGAAAAATTCACATTATATTTTTTACTTGTAAAAGAAAATGTATTGGTTATATATATATCTCTCTTTTAATTCAACTAGCATATTGAGTTTTGGAATAACTATTATTACCACATAAAATCAACCTGATGGATGGATATATTTATGTCTAAGAAAACTAAAAGGTAATAATAATAATTTAATGGGTTAAAATAACTCTCATTACATTAATAAATGAATATATTTAATATTGTATTTATATAAATCAGTAAATAATTATATTGTTTTTTTATTATATAAGTCAGATACAAAGTACAAGAATATATAACAATAATTCAGCAAACACACATGATCATAAATCAGAGCAGAATGTCATCCTAATAGTGGTATTTTCATTCCAATCAAATTCAGTATTTTTATTAATTAAATCAAAATTTAAAAAAATCAAAAAATTTTAACATGAGCAGTTGATGTTTTAAATTTTTGGCGATCTTTAAAGTCTACATAATAACAATATGTGATTTTTCGGTATGATGGATGATGGAACTTCAGCTTTCTAATGAATATTAACAGCAAATATTAATTTATCAATTATAAGTGTAAATTGATTGATATTTTTTTTAAATTATCAACAAACAACAATATGCAATTTTTTATTCTGTTAAATAGTGAGTCTTTAGCTTCCTAGTGAGTGTAAGATCATTCATTCAATTTGGTCAAGTATTTAGTTACAAAATTTTTAATTTTAATGATTAATGAAAAAAAAATTTTTTAAATTTTTATATATGGAAAAATTATGAGGACAGAAGTTACAAACTGATATAATTCAATTCAATTTACATTTATTAATAAAAATTTATTATATATAGAAAGATTATCTAAAAATTACATAACAGCCTGTCTCTGAAATTCACCTACAGTTGAACCTCTTTATAACAAACATATTGGTTTGGCCCCAATAATCTGTTATACAGTGAACCCTTGTTTCAACGAAGTATAATTAAATTTTTGATACAACGAATTTTTAAAAATGTTGTTACACATTATGAAAACATATAAAAATTTGTTGAAACATGATTAGTAACCTTGTTTCAACAAATGTCGAATAAAATTTTCTTATATGTCCAACCACTTCGTTGAAACAAGGGCATACTGTAATGAGGTATTTGGTAACCAAAGTAATTGACAATCATCAGATGATGCTTTTAAAAATTACTTTTTTTTTTAACAATAATAAAATTGTACATAATAGTAATATAATTGATATGATGCTATTGTTGTTAGGTAAAATAAGAAGTTAATTTTCCTTGGTTTAAACTTTTAGAATTATACAAATTAATTTTTTTCTTTAATGCATGAAAAACTTTGAGTTCATTATAATCTAATTCTAAATCATAATTATCTTGTTCAAAAAATTTATGAACAGTTTCAAAGCAGCAACAACATCTTTAATTGGAATATAAGATAACATTGGAACATTTTCTTCAATTTCTTCCTCAGCTGGAGTAAGTGATAAGATTATTTGTTCATCAATTACCATTTCAATGCTTACATCTGCATTATCCATTGAAATAAATTCTGCTGATATTAGAGGTGAATTAAATTAAATTTTGAACAGCATTTTCTTCTTGGAGAATTTCATTTACTAAATTGTTGGCTTGTTCTATTTCTATAGGATATAAATCATTTTCTTCTGGAAGAAGTCCAGCTTTTTTCCAACAATTAGAAATAATTTCTGGTGTAACAACATCCCAAGCTCTTGCAACCATATTAAATGTTAATTGGACTGGGTTCTATGCCAGACTGTTCTTCATCAAAATTATTTATTCTTTTTTTCAAAAATAATGAGCCTTGAAACTATGAATGATTCCTGCATCACATGGTTGTAAATGTGCTGTATTTGGTGGCAAATAATGAATGCCTATGTTTGGGAAAGTGACACCCTCTGTTAAGGTATGTTATCAACTAATAATATAATATTCTTATTTTCATCTTGCATTTTTTTATTAATTTTTTGAGATAATCATTCCATACAGAAATTTGCATCCAATAATAATTTACTGGTAATGTGTCTTTTTTATTCCTCTCAATGGCCTTGGGTTTTGATACTTGTGTATAAATAAGGGAATTATTTTTTCTGTGCCAGGTGAGTTACATGTTAAAAGAACTGTAACTCTGTCCTTGTTTTTTTTTTTTTTGGTTCCTGGAAGTTGTCTAGTTGATAGCCCATGATTAGATTCCATTTTCCAGAACAAACCAGTCTCATCATAGTTGAAGACATCCTCCTGCCTATACTGTTGAAGGGTTTTTCTTAAATTTTATCTCATTTGTGGAATCTCACTTATTGGAGCACTTTGGGCTTCTCCATGTTTATTAAATGCCTGAATTGAGGATCTATGTTTAAATTTTTCAAGCCACCCTTGAGTTGCTTTAAAATTATGATGATCTAACAAATCAGCAAAATCTAGGGTTTTTTGTTGAATTATGGCACCTGTAAAGATGGCTCTGCAACCCTAGGTTGCAACCCAAAAAAATATTGACATCTAATGCTGCAACTACTGTAGGTCGGAAATTGCTGCAACTGTCTGCAACTGTCTGCACCCTCTGGTTGTCAGCTACTTCAATCATTATAAAACTAAATTTATTCTTATCAAAAAATATTTTTAATTAAAGTTCAACCAATAAAAATTGTGATACTAATACTATTTTAAACAATCAAAGTATTCTTTAATGGTAACACAAAATAATTTTTTGATCACGATCTTGCATTCTTATTACAGTCCGGGTTCTTTCCAAATTTAGGTATAGAAATTTGCGCCTCTTTGTCGATCAATTCATATATTTTTCATATGTTACAAATGAGTTAACGTGATACTTTGTACTTGTTGAAAAAAAAATTTTTTTAAAAAAATTACTATTATAATTATTTAAATAAATACTACAATATTTTCTCTTCCATAATCTGTTAAAAATCTATAAAAATCTATTGTTTTCCTCAAAGTATACTTTGTTTAAAATTCAAGAAATTCTGTAACAGAAGTTCAAATGATTTGGTTTTTTACTCAATTTACTAACTTATTTATTTTATTTTTTAATTTTAGTGAATAAAATGCTCGCTAGTGACTTACCTTGTTTACTTGTTCAAAAATATCAAATTGAAACCATGTGATGATACTAATAGTGATGATAGATGAGCATCAGGAAATAAAGCAAGCAAATGAGCATGTAAAAATATTTGATAATTATTCAATCTGTGTTATCAAATTGTTACTTCTAATTTTCTTGAAAAATTAAAAGCAGAGGACAATCCTTCAAGAGAAAGCCAACGGAAATGACTTAAATAACTATTGATGAAGATGCAGAAGAACACTGTAAACGTAATTCTTGGTTTATTTCAATATGGAACTCAAATACAATTTTTTTTACATAATAATAATAAATGCAATAGTTAAGTTCTAATTTCCAACCTTTAAATGTTTATTACATATTTTGTTTATAGAAAAGTATTAACTTCAAATTTGCTTTTTAAAGATTATTTTCATAATAATAATAAACATTTTACCTAATAATATTAATATATTAATATATATTGCTGGATGAAATAGAAGAGAAGATCATATCAAACAAAATTTATTGATATTTATTTGATATTTTCAAACAAAAAACAAATTTGCATAACAGACTCTTTTCAAGAATGGCTATTAATAAAATGGAGTTAATTTGGTTTTTTTAATATTTTTAAAGGTTAGCTACAATCTGTTACGCGATCATCTTTTTTTTATTATATTTATTTTTAGAAAATAGAAATTATTTTTATTTGGCATATTATTATTCAATTTAATGAATTTAATTATCAAATCATTTGGAATAAGTTAAATATTAACAAAATATATTTACATTGGGCAAGTTATAATGATGATAATAATAATAATTTTATTTTTTTTATTAACCAACTTGTATCCATGGCATTATGATTATTGCCACTACCACCATAATTACCATCACTACCACCACAACCCTTTAGAGCTTTATTCTGAAATATTCAAACCTTGCTTGATGTATAGTGCAGGACACCTAGTCCCTACAACTTTTATTAGTCTTGCAAATCCTTTAACTCCTCCGAAAATGGAAATGTGTGACCTAAAAAAACAAGATGTCATTTTGAAGCTAAGACCTTTTTCTACAAAATGACATTTTCATTTTGTTGAGATGTCATGTTGTTGTGGAGGAATTAAGCCATAAAGTTGCACAAGTTTAACAAATTTACTATGTTAATCCCACAAAGTGACGTGTTACACACAAATTTTTTTTATATTAAAAAATGAACGAATTGGAAGAATTGAAAATTTTGAAATCTATGTTGCAGATCCTTTATCACGTGATATCAATAAAGAGAATGCAACGTGACAAATCTATTTTAAAACACGTGGCTGTAAAAATTTTATTGCATTTTTGATTGTGAATTTTTTCTCAAATCTGTCGCTGTGGCGCAGAAAGTTGTAGGGACTAGGTGTCCTGCATCATACTATGCCAAAGGTTTATAATATTAATAAATAAATTTCTTTATTATTTCTCCAATTCTTTGTATTCATAATTATCAAACAATAAATTAACTATTATTATTATTATTATTATTATTA